GAATGCACGGCGGCAATGAATAACGGCAAAATTAAATCGGGAAGGCGGCGGCTGCGGCGACAACGCCGAGTAAACTGAAGAAATAATTTATTGCAGGCTGATGATTCCAATTGCAAAAGAGCGGCGCCCGCGCCTAAACGCCCCCCACACACGGGGCGCACAGGGGTGCGGAGCGCACATCGAGGAACCGAACCGAGTGTAAAGTGCGTGCAACCGCGGTAAACACTTGCGAGTGTACGTGCAGTGTGCTCTCACGACCTCGGTTGTGCTGGCCAGGACGGGCCGGGTACGTACGAGTGGCCTAAGTGACGTAGCCAAGCGGATGCTCAACGGCTACCTAGTGACCCATTCGGTTTACATACTCTCTTGGGGGGGCAAAGGCCCGGTCTGAGGGAGAAAAGGGAGAGGGGGATGCACATAGAATAGGGGGATGGAGGAAGAGAGGAGAGACTTGGGAGAGGAGAAGACAGGGAGAGAGAGGAGAGAAAATAGAGGGAGAGAGAAAAGACAGAAGGGAGGGAAGAGAGAGCGCAGACCCGCGTGTCGCACTCGCTCAACAGCGGCGCTTCTTGCTCTCCCCGCCCCCGCCCCGCCCCGCCCCGCACGGCCTCCTCCGACGGCCACCCCGAATTAATCCCAGATTGAAATCCCTACGTCCCCGTCGTTTGCCCTCTGCTGCTGCGGCCCTCGGCACAGGACCGTAGCCATGGCTGCAGACCCCCCGCGGTATCTCGGCATCGCGATATCGTTAAGGTGACGGGGCGGCGCCCGCCGGGTGCGTGGTTCGTGCGTCCCGGGGCGGTGATCACCTCCTCTGTATGCGTCCCGCCCGCCGCCCGGGTCCAAAGCTCCTAATGTAGCCGGAGCAGCCCGTCGGTCCTCTTCCTCCATCGCCCCCCGACCGCTACGCCACTGGACCCTCCGCCACGCCTGTTGCGTACGGGCGCGGCCGAATCATCTGCTACGGCGGTTTACAACACGGTACACACCTCTCTTCAGAAAATAACGAAACGAGGAAATGTATGCGGACAACTCGCGGGATCACTAGCACCAGAGAAGTATACAACACCTCGTCGACGGCGTTTGTCAAAGCAGATTGAGAGCCAGAGATGCCTCCGTCACCGTCAGGGGCAAATGTCGCGGGGGTTTCGAACTCGACACCCACGAACACAACACCGACCCACAATCCGCGGCACACGCCATTCCCCCCCTAAAGTGCACCCGAGTGGCGCCCCGCCGGCCCCGCCCCGCCGGCCCTGCCCCGCCGACTAGTCGTCGCGTCGCACACGTTATTGCCGCTGCAGGGGAACAAAACGGCGTCGTGCGTGACACACATCATGAGGTGGAGGAGGATATGGCCCTCCACGACGTCATCGGCGTGCTCCTCCAACCCGCGGTAGGACGACGACGTCGCCGACGAGGCGCCCTGCGCCGCCGCCGGATAGGAGAGCGCGGGACACGGTATGGGGCGCGGCGGGGCGCGGCGGGGCGCGGCGGGGCGCGGCGGGGCGCGGCGGGGCGCGGCGGGGCGCGGTGGGGGCAAGTCTTGGCGCGGCGCCCCTTGCCGCCCGCCGCCCGCTCCCCTGGGGGTCCTCCTCGAGGTCCTCCTCGGGGTCCCGCTCGAGGTCCTCCTCACGGCCCTTTGCCCGTGGTCCGCTGCACTCCATTAAGCACAATCAAGACGCTGGCCATAACTCATACGACCAGCCAGCGGTAGAGCTGTATGTCCCTTTGGAGGCGGACCCCGGCGGCCCCGGCCAAAGAGGGCGCGCGGCGCAAGCCGAGGAACAGCCGCGTAATTGTTTACGGATTGAGGCGAAGGAGTCCGAATGCAGATTGAATGGGGAGGTCAACTCCGTCGACCCACCCGCACCCCCCAAGGAGCAGGAACGGCTCGAGGAACGGCGTTGGTCTTCGGGGGCGCCCTTGTCCTGCCCCACCGCCCCCGGACAGCACGCCCCTCTGGGCAGCTCGTGTGGCCCAACTAACCCTACCAACCGGTCGCACACGACACGCAGCTTAAACACACAGACGCAAATTAGTAGTACACTCCACAAAGATACTGCGATGAAAGGACAGGAAAAGTAAAACACAATCGCAAAAGGAAAATTGGCATTTTGCAGGACGCTGCAACAAGTCTAGGCCGTTTCACCCCCACGCCGTTTGGCGCGGCTCCCCGCGTGAAACGCACTTTGCACCAAACCAAAGCCAGCCAGCCACACTATCGAGACGGACGACCGCGATAAAGCAGACGACGCATCTTTCTCTTTCTCCCCCGCCTCCCCCCAACCCAACCCCTCCCTCCCAGCCACTCTCCTTTCCTTTTTACCCGGAGTAAAGCAGCAGCAGCAGCTTTAGACTTGGCCCGGACGCGAAGCGGACAGAGGGGAAAAGGGGGTATGGGGGAGGAGGGGACAGAGAGAGAGAGAGACAGACAGACATGGAGGGAGAAAGATCGTCCCATGCCAAGTGCCAGGGTTGCAGATTCAAGCGGAAGATGGAGACCGAAGTTTGACGCCTCACCCCGCCCGCAGGCCGCACTATACTGTGCGCAGCGCACTACACACAGACAGTCATGGAGAAATCTCATTTTATTTCTGGCGTCGTACGGTATGAGGGGGGTAGAAAAAAATGGGGCAGAAACTGTACGTAGAAGAGCCAGTTGGAATACAAGCACAAAGTTTTGTACCTCTCTTTGGCCGCCCGTGTTTTGTCGGTGTAGTGTGGTTGGTGGTGGTGGTGGACAGGGAGAAGAGCAGAACCTCGGTCATGAGGACCGCGCGAGGCGTCGTCGAGGTCCAACTAAGTTTACCGACAGCAGCGGCGCGGAGCAGAGGGAAGGACCGCCCCGCCCCGCCCCGCCACGGCTCCTTCCGGTGCCGCACGCCTTTGGACTCCTGCCATGGACACACGCTGAGCACGCCCAGCGCCCCGCCCCGCCCCGCCCTTACACCACCACCAGCACCAGCTAACATACCATCAACTACCACCACCAGCGGGCCCTACACTGCGCACTGATGCCCGGCCCAACAGGGCGGCGCTTATAGCCTCTCCCCAACGGCATCAAACATTAAGAGCGGACAATAATAGCGCGACGACGCTTAATTTTTCATAAGCGATGCTGCCGCTGCTGCTGCTGCTGCTCCCAGCCAACAACACCTCGGTAAAGTTTGATAAGTCCTCTCTCGTGCCAACACAGATCTGCGAGTTGTAGTAGTATGTGGGCGCGTATGTGTGTGTGTGTGGGGAGGGGAAAATAGAGGGAGGCAAAGGGGGATGGAGCGTCCCGTCCCCTAGACCGACGGCGGCGTCCTGGCGCTGAGCTGAACCCCCGTAGGAACCGAAGGAGCACGACGCGGGGGGATGGGGGGAAGACGGGGGGGTTGTTGGGGGGTGAGCGCACTCTCTGCTCCTGCTACCCCTCCATCTCTTTCTCACCCCCTCTCCATCTTCATTTCTTTCTCTCACTCACTCGCTCTCCCATGTTCCCCCGCCCGCGCGCGGGTCCCCGATCGACGAAGACGATTCCCCTGCAATTTGTTTATAGCCTCGGCTTGCCACAACTTAGATGGGCCTGCGGCGCGAGGAGGGCTCTTGAGGGCCTCGTTCCGCCCGCCTTTTATAGTGCCCCACCGCGTACGTATCTGCTGCTGCTGCCCCAGCGGGAGACGCCCGGCCGCCGCCACCGCCCCCCGCGGCAGCGTCACCAACGCTTTGGGGGTCGTCCTCTCCCGTCAGATCTTGTTCGACGCCGAGACTGACGCTGTGTTTGTCTCGTTCGCGACGCGTGTGTGGCAGCGGAGGGAGAAGAGAGCAAGGGGATGTCGTGGTAAGTGAGGCCGCCGGGGGGAGCGGGAGGGAGTCCGTAGAGTAGGGGTTGCCGTCGTCGTCATGGGGCAGCAGAACAGAGGGGCTGCTCGCCGGCGACAACGCCAGCGTGGCAATCAATTAAAAGCGAATTAGAAAGGTGTGGACGGACGGAGGCGAGGCTCTATGGGTATTTGATTAGCCGCAACCGCGCATCATCGAGCAAAAGAGAGCGAGCGAGCGAGAGGGGGAGGGAGAGAGAGAAAACGAGAGAGAAGCGGGGGGGGGGGCATTTACAGCCGTGCGCTGCTGCTCATCATAACACAGCAGCAGCGAGCGAGCGAGGATGCAAATCCAATTAATGCAGCGGCGAGTGGTGAGGGGTGGTGAGGGGGGCGCACCGCCGCTCTCCGCCACGCCCGGCGCGCGAGGAGCTTTTTGCGGGACGACCGCGCCGGAGCGAATTCGCCAAACGGGAACAACCGGCAGCGAGGCGGTAGGAGTAGCAGCAGAGGCGAGAGAGTCAGCTGGAGTGGCGTCCACCGCAGCCCCTGCTCACCCCGCTGCACAACCTCCCCTCCGCACCTCCATCCTACCCCACCCCGCCCCGCCTCCGCAAACAAACCGTAATCTATAACCCTTGATCAGGAGCAACACGTGTCTGTTTACAGCGATTGATTTGGTATCGGCGGGTCGCTCGCCCCGACACGGCTGCTGCCGTTTGGGGTCGGTCCGGACATGAATACAAATCCGCCGCGGATCGGTGCGGGTCATCGCGCAATAAAGTGCTAATAAAATTGAATCGACAAAATTTTCCAGCCATTATACAATCGAATAAACAATGTTGCACGCGGATGCTTTTAGGAGTATTTTGAAATGAAAACTTACCTGGGCTCAGGGACACCTCCCCGGTGAGGGAGTCACGGGTACCGCTGAGCTCGTGGTCGACCGAGTAGAAGGACTGAAGATCTTGCCACTCTCGAGGCCACACCAAGACCATCCTGTGGGCAAAGAGATTGAAAACTGTTTAGAGACGACAATAGTAGACCAAAACATAATAACAATCAGCAATTTTATTTCATTTTAAGAGAAAAAGCTTATAGAGAAAATATTTAAGAAACGTCTATTGGAAAAAAAATTGTTTCATAAGTTATGACGAAAATTCGAACAAGTATCGAACAGTTGATCAAACTTTTGAGGGAACTATTTAAGGGAACAAAGGGAACAAAAAAAAATATGGTTTAAAATTTTGCGGACAAATGTTTATGTGAAAATTTTCCATAAATATAACAAATCTGTCCATCTCTACGATAACAAAGGCAGCATAGATATGCGAAGAGACGATGAAAAAAAAAATGCAGGGATCATACTGAGTGAGGGGCGTGTGCCGTGGCGTTAATTGTCGCCACACCGAGCGGCGCACCCCAAATTGATGACAAAATGATGACGACAATCATCGCCTCCTTCTTCTTCTTATTTGGCGGGGCCGCGCGCCGAGCCACGCCATCTGCGGTATGCAAATCGCAGAGCGCCACGCCACACGACGCGTTAATCTGTTATTAATTGTCAACAGCACTTCACTGCCTGGGCGGTGGCGGCG